TGCTGCTGCTGCTGCTAATGCTGCTGCTAATGCTGCTGCTAATGCTGCTAATGCTGCTAATGCTGCTAATGCTGCTGCTGCTGCTGCTGCTGCTGCTGGTGTTGGTGGTGGTGGTGGTGGTGGTGGTGGTGGTGGTGGTGGTGGTAGCAAGCAGCATCAGCAGAAGCAGCGAAGGAGGAGGATGGGGACCCCCTATCCTTCCGAACCTCTCCTGAGTAGACTCTGCTGCTAAACCATGATGGTTGCTTCTTGAAATCAACTGCTTTAATCTGCCCTACATACATACGTTTGACATGATATACACGTAGGCCTCGATGTCTCGAATCCTGAGCCACCAACCGTCCGAGAGGTAGAGACTGACTGCATCAACTCCATCCGCTTCCTGGCCGTGGATGCCGTGAACAAGGTGCCTGGGTTGACGTGGTTTGGATTTTCAGGGGCTGCAGGGCTTGGATGTGAAAGTTCAGGGATTCTAGATTCACAGGCTTGGGCTTTGGAGTTGTTGGGTTTTGTGATCTTAAGACACTGTTGCAAGCAAAGCCGCCATTCGCACCCACAAACCTTCCACCACCACGATTGCGACAGCACCAGCAAATCTTAAACGCCAGCAAATGCATGGGGGCTCCAGAAATCAGGGATCCTCTTCGGGAGCCCCCATGGCAACGACAAACGTATTTTATTGTAAGGTGGTCCAATTTTTGGAAATGTGTCGCATGATCATCCAGGCTGCAAAACGCATCTATTACAACTGCAGCCCGAATTGATCCCAAATCAATATCTCTGCCATCAGTTTTCATCATCATTCTGAAGGACTATCTAAGTCCATGGCTATTTTGCAATTTCTTCAGCTGTTGCTACATGCTGATCTTGCCCGAATTAGCCGGAACCTGCAGTATGAGAACCTTGGAGCGATGATAGTAAATCATCCCAATCCAAAGTTGAAACAGACATCCTTCTTGCTATATTTGGCGTATGCATGTCAATTCTTGCTATATTTGACGCTCAGTATGATTGCTCTAAACCCAAAACCCAGACCCTACGTAGTAGCTTCCATTTTCTTTTGCCATTATTCCCCTATATATCCTTATTATACAAATTAAACAGCCTCCAATATCGTAGCTTCCATTTTCTTTGCGCCATTATACCTGTATATACACATATATCTATATATATATATGTACATATATATATATGTATGTACATATATACATATATATATGTACATATATATACATATATGTACATGTACATATATATGTATGTATATATATGTATATCCTTTTGATACCAGTATCCCTATTGTAGTTCCAACCTGGCTGGGCAGCGGCTATGAGGCCAACTCCGGCCACCCGGGTGCCCCGATGGGTCAGGCCCCAATCGGCTCCTGGGACTTTCATGAAAGTTTCAGGGCAGGGCTTAGGGTTCAGGGGTTGGGATGGTGAGAGTTTGCAAGGTGTAGGATGTATACACACCAGTGGAACTCTCTGCAATTTCCGCAGGAAATCAAACATGGCAAAGATGCAACAGCAGTCACTCATCGTGTCTAAATCTAAATGCTCTTCATCTGTTGCACAGTAGTAACCAGTGAATTTTGCAGACCGATTTGGCTGAAATGGGGACGCAATTCCAGGGAATTGTTTTGCCTCAGATTTGACTTGAGGTGCTCAGAACCATCATCAAGATTTGCCTGTGGGCATTTTTGCACGGACTCGACTCCCTCCAATTCCTTACATCATACATCCTTCTATATCCTAATTATAACAACATCCTTATTATAGTAATATCCGAATTAGCCGAATTAGAGAAATATTCCTCATTGTAGTAAGATCACTCTTGTACTTCCACAAAGGGACAAACAGCCGAGGCTACTTGCTCTTCGCGGAAGAAATGGCTTACAACCCCACGGACCTTTTTGGGGTTCGTTTCAAAGGGCTGTGGGGCCTTGTAGGGATGTACTTGTAGTGTTTAGGGTTTAGGGTCTCAGGGATTCCACAGATAGCGAAGTTGGACTTATCTGTAATCACCCTCTCAGCTCTCAAATGGAGTTTGCCAAAATTAGGGGTACCATTTGGTGGTTCCTACAGTGAGGATTATATTATTTGGAGGTGTATAATAGTAAGGTTCCCACATTTCTGGAACTACCAAATAATACTTGCCTCTCGAAGCCCTAAACGGAGTATTCTTGAAACTTCTGCAAGAGGAGGATCATATTGAAACTCTGTCGACTCCCGCATATCTACTGGGAAATGCTAATGCGGGTTCACCCAGGGAGCATTCTCTGCAGGACTTAATCACCTTTGAGCTATAGTCTCAACTCTTTGGAGAGGTTATTATACAGGGGAGTATTAAAGAGTTTAGGGTTTAGGGTTTAGGGTAGGGTTTTTCAGGGGGATACTAGGAATGTAGACTATTTTCTTGGAAGGACCCCACCTGGGTCAACAGGGACCGCTTCGTGCTGTCCTCCGGCCACGGATGCATGCTGCAGCTGCTTGTCCGGTTAGGTCTGAAGAAGATGGGATGTTCTCCAAACTGCGTTCATGGGTTGTAGGGGTTTTATAGGGGTTGTATTGGAATTTTGGAAAAGAAAATGGAAACTACTATAGTATATTGGGGGAATATTGGGGTATGTACCGGGATCATGGAAAAGAAAGTCTGCAGGATCCAGGGGACCATGTTGCCTCGGGACATCATTACTAAAAGGATGCTTTGCCAGTTGAAGCCCGTGGTGTCTTCTTTTTTGGATGTAGGGTTTAGGGGTAGCCCTTATACGGCTATACGGTGATTACCATCATGTGGGGCGTATGTTAGCAGGCAGTAAGACAGGGCATGGGCAAAGCTTGCCCAAATCTTTGGACTGCCAACTAACTGAACCTGCCACTCTTGAAGTCGCCCTTCAATCCTCCAGCCAGGCACCACCCTGAATTAGAAAAAACCCTTGCATCCAACCTGAAACCGTTGTCCCAAAGCCTTGAAACCTTCAATCTTATCAGGTATTCCTTGCTGCACTTGGCGGGATACGACAGCGTAGCCATGGACGATCTCAAGCAGTTCAGGCACTTTTCTTGAGACCAGCTTCACCTAGGATCCATGGCTTGGGAGTTTGCCTCTACGCGTCCCGAAACAAACATGAAACGCCGTGGGCCGTTTGTGGGGCAGCTTTGGGGGTTAATCTTCATGCTTGGAGACCTGGCGTTTTTTCTCATACTTGACTTTGACCCTTCAGCGTGTTGGCACGGGTCCCTGACCAGATTATCCTGCAGTAGAGCAGCTGCATCGTACGTCTTCCCAGCCATTCTAGGATATCCTTTCATGGGATTCTAGTGCTTGGGTGCTGGATGGTAGGCGACGGCTGTCTTGTACAGCCCCTGCTTCCGGCCCATGCTCCTTGAGCCGTGATTTTCCTTGGCATTCGGGCCTCAACAGTAGCCACTGCAGCTGCAACTGCCACTGCGGGGGTTAAGATTAGGAGAAGACAAGCATAGCTGTCGCTCTGGCTTCTGTCAGGAGTTCTCATCACCATGGTTCGACAACAGAATGCTGAAACTACATCCGATTGCCCAAAATTCCAGACCGTCCTAGAGCAGTCACGATGCCTCAAACCTCTCCTTGGTCCTGGGAGCCCTCGACTCTGAACTCTGTATGCCAAAAATCCAACGGAGGAGCCGCGAAGACCAAACCTTGAAGCCCCGCTTCAAACGAATTCCAGGTACAAAGTTTCAACGTGGTTCGGGTGAATGGAAATGCTTGTAGGGCCCTATTGGAACTGTAGATCTGCATGTGAGTTGTCCTTTGCGGTGGGGGCATACATGCAAGATCTTCCATGTATGCGCCAAAACCCCTCATCCCGGAGTGCCTGATCCAGGCAGTGGGGCTCCAAGACACCAGGCCACCCGGAGAACTTCGAATCTCTGCTGGCCTGGCCAACATTTATTTAGGCTTTAGGATACAAGAGCCTAAATGGTCGCTAATATTGCGGTCCCATATTTCTTGTTTACGTATGGTATAGCATACCTCAAACAGACCTCATAATGGTATTGCCACTTATTCAGAGTGTAGGGATGCCCCTTCCTCTATTGATGCATCATCACCTGCGCTCCATGCAGATCCTGCGTAGGGAATGTTTGTCCGTTTTGGAGGTGTTGCATTTCAAGAAAGCAAGAACGCAAATTTGGAAGTACTTGTAGGACCCTCTGCAGCTCTTTCTGGGTTGGGTGACTGCGTTTAGGGTCCGGGGCATGCGCTGGCCTTTACACAGGCCCTGCGCAAAGATAAGACATCGCCGAAGCCTTTCCGTGACACATGATCATGTGGACAGGTCGTGGCTGGGAAGGCAGTGCTGTCTCTGCGGCTCCGACCCAGTGAGTTTCCAACCCCAGCTTCGCTTTGGAACCCACAGTTCCTGAACCCAGTGTTATCGAAGCGGTGGCAGATTTGACAGCAAGTGCATGTGGCTTTGCCAAGATCATTGGAATCATTCATCAAACCTGTTGAGACCCAATCTATTCACCTCCACCCCATCAACGAAACAACCTCCCTTGTCCAGTATTGAAGCGCCAGTTCATTGTTAGGGAGGTGATTCAAACACTGTGACCGAATTTGGGAATCATGCCCATATAAGGAATGCTGGAACTTTCCACGCAACCCGTTGCTTGATCCCTAAACGCTCAACAAAGGAGACAGCTGGCATCGAGGTCACCACTGGTCCCCTGGGCACCCTGCCTCAAGATATATGGGGCAGCCGCTTGAATTCTTTGTAGAACCCCTTTTGCAACGGAGTGGCTGCATATTGAGAGAGTGGTCCCAGGGAAAAGGGTTTGCCGCTCAGCTTGAATTGGTCTTAAGGGGCCCGGAAACCCTAAGACCCTATAATCCCTTACTGGGTTGCTGTTAAGGGACTGAATTTAAGTTACGATATTGGGGAAACCCTATTATTCACTATATATATATATATATATATACATATGCCCAGTATGGTAACTTAACTTAAGTTCCTTGACAGCAATCCAGCTTAGTACCACCAGAGATGCCTGCATTTTTAAGGGTGATACAGAGGGTTCCTCCATTTTCAGCAAGCGAATTCCTACAACTGAACCCTAAGACATCCCTATGACCTCCTTAGATAGACCTAAGCGTACCCCTATTTGACCCCCATATGCTGCGTTAGGATACTTGTGCGAACCTTCTCAACCAAACCATGCCAGCCTACCTACTTCGAACCATTTAGGGGTTATATAGGGGTTTATATAGGGGTTTATATAATTAGGGGTTACATAGGGGTTATATAGGGATAATGGAAAAGAAAGTGGAAACTACTCTCAAAGATTTGTTAGGTGAGGCCCCCCGTAATTTGTAGTGGCACAATGGGAAGCATAGAGGGACTTTAATATAGTTTCTATGACCCGTTGTGGTCAGCGTTTATGGCTGGTTGGGGGCCTAACCTAGATGACCGTGCAATTCGTCAAGGATACTCTAGCATAACATGCCTTTGGCACTGGTGCTTGGGTCCTTTGTTCACAGGACCCATCAATCGGCATTGAAGTTGTCTTAAGCCCAATGTTTGCAGCGAGTTCCCATTACTTTGCATGGGGAACACTCAACCGTAACCCACTTTTTCCGAAATTATGATTGCCATTTCTGTTGTCAATGTACGCTCAATGTGCTATAGGTGACCATAACGGATCTTAGTACTATTGGTAGATTCGAAAAAGCGCCCGAAAGCTTAGGACCCTCCATAGGCCCCAGGCCTTGTTCGGGGGGATTCCGTATAGGGTTGTCCCCAAATGTGCTAGCAGCCCTTAACAAGATAAGCAAGGCTTGCACTAGGGGCTTGGATTGGGACCATGGCCCTCTAGGAACTGTGAGAGCTGGCAGGGGAAGCTGATCCAAAAGCCCCTACCACCGTACGAGCCTACAGGCATGGGTATCTCGAATGCCGTGGGCCTTGCTGCGGCGGAGGCGCACATGGCGGCCGCCTACAACAAGCCGCTCGTTGTTTGCTGATGCCACAAGGGTTTTCTGCCGAGATTATAGGTCCTTTTGGCATGCCCAGAGATTTTTGGGGATAAGTGCTCCGACTCGAACTAGGACCTGCAGTGGTATTTCGGCTAGCGTGAGGGCGTGGGCTTGTTCATAAGCTTGCGTGCATCTGATTTTTTTTTGGCCTGAAGCCCGCAAGAAGCAAAAGCTAGTGCTTGCGATTGAGCTGGGTTTACAGAGTTGTGCCCTGCAGGGACTGCGTGACTAGCTCAGAATAAAGCAGCACACCTCCTCCCCAGGCGCCCTCAGCTACACTTCTATGAGTCTAGGCCTCTGGGGTCGAGGGTTTAAGAGGATGGGCTGCTCTTGCCTCATTAAATGGGTCTGCTCTTTTGTGTGTTCCTTCCTGGTTCTGGGGCTCAATGATGATGATTCTACCCTCTTGTTGATTTCATGTTTGCGGCTCATGGCTTGATGCTCAGGCCAGACTTCACGCTCATCGACCACTACACTTACACCATTGCCGGAGATGGCTGCATGCAGGAGGGCTGGCTCACCGTAGCAATCAGGTTTGGAAGGCTCCTCACCAAAGTTGCCTGATGTAGAAGGGGACGCATTCGGAATTCTAAGAAGGCATGTTGCGGTCTGCTGCGCTGTCAGGAGGGTATCTCCCACGAGGCCTGCGCCTATGCCGGCCACTTGGGCCTTGGCAAGCTGATCGCCTTCTATGACCTCCGCCAGCAAGATGTATGACTTTTCAAGTGGTTAGAATCATTCCCGAGAAAGTGTGCTGATGACTGGTCGGGCTCGGAAGTCAAGTTGTGGGGTTGAGCTGGCTACTTGATAGCTGAACAGAACACACTGCAGCGCCGGCCATGCCATCAAAATGGTACTGACAGCGCAGTACGTCGGCCAGCAGACCTAGGTCGGGCGGCTGAGCTTAGATCAAGAACCGCAGATACTTTTTCGTTTAGGGTTTACAGGGTTTAGGCCCATGCCTGTAGTTGCAAGCAGGCTTGCAAAATCTCCACACAATTTACGCGTTCTTAGTAGGGCCTAGGGTAAGAAGGGAACATTTTGTATCAGGATTTTATAGGGACTATATTCCTTCGTTCCCAACTAAGAAACAGCAAGATACTCCGTCCCAGGACGACAACGGCATCACCATCGATGGCCACACCGACCTCTCCTTCACTGAGGAGTCAGCGGTTTTGTTTATCCGTATCCAATAAGGCACACTTGTGCAAGGATTTCGCGGATAGGGAGTACCAGAAGCAAACAGACATGAAAGCCCATAAAGTCCCCCTTGAAGAAGGGATACTAAAGGCCGTCTTCACGGGGCCACTCTAGGGCTTCAATGATTGTTTGGGGGAGGGCAACATGAGAGGATCCAGCTTTGGGCTTGTCGGGGGTGAGTGCTGGGAATGCATCGAGCCTTTTTCCAATTCAAGCGGCGGAGTTCTACTTCAGATTGCCGGTTTGTCTCTGGGACTGGTCGTAAATCCAACCGCGAAGGTATCTCTTCCCGGCGTCTTATAGCACAAAGGTGTTGATTTGTTGAAACAAGCTTGAAAGGCTTGATGCCGAGTCCACTCACATCTGTAGAGTTGAAAAATTGGAGGCCCAGGCTCTTGGGACATGGAGGCTGCCTCAACATGCACCAGCTTTCTTTTGACATCTCCGTTACCTTGCGTCTTAAATGCATGAGGCCTTGCTGAAAGCCTAGAGATACAGGTATGGAGTTGCAAACGAGCATGTAGATATAGAGTTTGATCAAAGTTGACTTCGGGTAGCTGCAGGATGTTGGAAAGCGCTTCGAGGCACGACCGCTCTTTCCTTTTCTGAGTTCTGCAAGTGGGACTCGTTCTGTTTCCACCTCAGTAGCACGGTGGTCTGCCAGGTGCTGCTTCAAGATAGGAAAGTCTTAAGTTGCTGATGAGAGCAACGGCTTTGATAAGCGCAATTTGTATAGCAAGGATCGCAACAAGGAGCCCTTCTCATAGTATTACTGTGAACAGTTAGCACCAGAGACCAGAGAAAAGAAGGGAGACTGACCATCATAAGCAAGAAGCCCACAACACGGACCGTAAGAACAATTGGCCAGAACGCTGGAATACGACCATCGCCACCAGCGCTCGGTTCCATACGGCCCCCCAAACCCAACGTGACCATAAAGTCTCCCCCGCCCCTCCGTCAGCCCGTCGTCATCCAAGGTTGCAACCCTAGGGTCTTAAGATGGGAGCTTCGCCTGTCACGTGTATCTAGGCACTTCTAGATGGACTTCCTGCATTGGAGTCCATAGTTTCATAGCCATGCAAGGAACCCCTAGAATTTTGTATCCCCTGCACCCTATCTATAGGATCTTAAGCCCTGTCGTACACCCGCTTAAGGTGGGCGGTTTCCTTGAGTGCAAACCCTAAACTCCAAAAGCCTGCTTGCAGGCTTCTGTGACTTAGTCAGTCTACTTACCATCCCCGATAACCATATGAAAAGCCCCGCTACCCCTATCACTAAATCGACTTTCTAAGTCAAACACCCCCCCTGAGCAAATCCTTCCTCCTTAACTTACTGGTGGTTAGTAAAGAATAGGGGAATTCGATCCCTACATATTCGGTACATCACATATTCCCTGTTTTTACAAATCCCCAGTAAGTATAATATCCCAGTATAATCCCCCTAGTATTTTTCATGTTCTTTTCCATCATCCCCTAAACCCTAAACTCTCGGAGCCTGTAGATGCTGCGGAGTTTTTGTCGTCAGCAGAGGGCATCAGACCCCTTCGATTTTTGGACGTCGTGGGTGCTTAGCAGCCTGAGGGTTCTGGAGAGTTACGGTGCTCTAGCAGTACTCTTTTGCCCTTTTTATTCTGGGATCTCCTTATCAGAGTCGAACAGTAGGAAAAAGTGTACCCTTACCATTAATGGGTTACTGGGGAACCTAGTATGGTCGTGTTGTTCTTGACGCGTTCCAAACGCAGAAGGGTTATTCTCAAAATTATGGGCCTCTTTTTGGTTATGGATGATACTGCGGCACCTCATATCTCGGGGTACCAAAATGGGACCCTAATTTTGGGAACTACACAGAAGATTGCGCAGGATGAGCTGTAAAGCCGGGGTGGTTGAAGGGAGGCTGCCGTCCTTGGCGCTTGTGCCGCCAACTCTGAATGAGCTTTGCCTCACTGTAACTGGCGGATAAACGGGGCGTTCAAGAAAAACGGTAAACATGTATCCCATTATAATCCTCAACATACTATAGTTCCATCTTCTTTTCCATTATTCCCTGAACCCTAAACCGTAAATTACCTACTAGCCCCCAGTAAGTTAAGGAGCTGTACAGTTCTTTTCGCCAGGCTTACGGCTGGCAAGTGCTGGTTGTGGAGAAGGGAGATGAGGCAACTGGGTCTAGGGTTTGGGATTTAGGGCTTCTAAAGGTTTACAGAATTCGGGCTTCAGGCCTTTAAGGGGAATATATGGATGCTTCTGTCCTTGTAGGTCTGATATATCTAGAGGGCTTGAGATTGGGGTCGCGGGGCTTTGCAAGGCAGCTAGATCGGTAGCCCCAGCCTGCACCAATGAGAAGCCAAGAAGAGTATAGTGCCCCTTCAGTAGATAGAATATGCGGTATATGGGGATCTTATTATTATGGTTTTGGGCAAAGCCATATTCTATCTACTTAAGGAGGACTATACTATGATAGTTACTGGACTCTGGGTTGGGGTTACCAAGCAATCCTTATCAGCCGTAGTCTATACTTCTTAAAGGGGGGTTATATGGCGGATTAATTATATAGGGGACTATTATAGGGGTTACTAAGGGGGATACTCGGAGTTTAGACTACAGCTCACATAGTGTCAGCCTGTACGACATTTTTGATTTGGTGTTGGAAGCAGCCCAGATGAGTTCTGATGTGTCGGAACACTCCCTGGCAAAGAACGTTTTCCGGAGCAATACTGTCAAAATCAGCTCAACCTGGTTCCTTTCGCATTGTGGAAAGTGCCTGGGGACACTGTCGCCAATATGCGCATTCGCAGGGACCCTCCGTCTGTGGCAGGATTTTTTACCAACTTCGGCTAGACCCCGCGTCCTCAAGCATACATTATTGGTGAAGGCACCATGCCTCTCAAGACCCATTTTTAGGTAGTTACCTTTGGCCATCTAAGCACTTGCCACTCCTTACAATCCAAGCCCTGGAGAATCGCCTTGGAGCTGGGCCTCTCAGGTAGCTCTCAGGCGTAACTTGCCCATGAGACTCACCTTTAATTTCATCAAGCTAAAGTGTCAGCACCTCAGATAAGTGTCTGATGTGTGCTAACTTCCTTCTTGTTCGTGTGACAGTAGCTGATTAATTGGGCTTCCAGGCTGACTAAGCCCTCTGCACAGGATGTTGGAGCAATCCGCAAGGCCATCGCGGATGCCAAGGCATGCACGGCATCTTGGCTGCAAATATGAGAGCTTCTGATCAGGATGCCACAGATTTTGAGGCGAGTTGGGGTGGGGATCTCTTTGGTGCTGTGCTTCCATGGTGTAGGTCCTAAGTGTTGTGGGGGTATTGTGGGTCTGGGATCAGGCCTTTCCTGCGTGGGCAGTAGGCAGGCAGGTGTGCGCTTCAATTGACGTGGAGGTCCCGTTGGCATTGCGAGTTTGGATTAGATGGGGCTGTGGACGGTTTGCGGGATTTTTTCGGGGGGGGCTTGTTGTTGTTAAGCACGTAAGGGAGCGCAAGCACTCCAGGGTGAGCAGTAGGATGGATCTTGTGAATCTTGTGTCTTAGGTTCAGGAAAACCGGGCTGTTGTGCTTCTACCTATCATCAGCATGCATCGGTTTTAGTACGCACCTTTTGGAAAAATCAGGATAAGCCCTGAGAGGCTTGCGTGAACTAGCATCGTTTGTCATTGAGATTCTTTGTGCGAGTACGAGCTGCAGTTGGTTGTTCGGTTGAGAACAGGACCGGGGCTCTTCGCATTCACATGTCACGCATTCTGGTTAGAGCCTACGAAGAAGGGGGAGAGTTCAACAAGCAACGACATGAAGATCTCACAGATCGTTTCCAGCCCGTTGAGCTTCAAGGAAGGCATGGGCCTTTGCCAGAGATGACAGGGGCTTGTAGAGGGTTGCTTGATTAGCACACTCACATGAATACTGCCCACTACCATGGATTTTGCTTTTGTACTGAGGACAAGCCCACCCTGATCAAGGCCTGCAATGGCTGCACTTGATGGGGATTTTGCAGGACGGTCAAAGTATACTCCCTGAGCTGGACAACTAAAATCCCCTGCCTAACCTTAATATCACGACGGTGTCTCTGTCATTCTGTTTTTTGACACCCCAGTTTGTCAGGGCATTGACAGTAAGGATGCCCAGCAATGAAATGCAAGCGGATCCCGTAGACCTAGCCCTCACTGCAAAGGCTTACTGGCTAGCAGGGAATGAACTAAGGGGCTATGGGCTATACTTACCATTACTTAGCTGGGAATGAAGGAATGGAAAAGAAAGTGGAAATTATTACGTATAATGGGTCATAAAGGGGCTACTATCAGGCCCATTCCTTCATTCCTGGCTAACCAAATGTAAGTATACAGACCACTGTAAGGGATTGTAGAAGGACTGCCGCAGCCCAGGGCCAGCTCCTTGTGCACGCTGAACTGGTAGTTTCCAGAAAAGGTGGCCCTCAACATAGACCCCCAAATACGACAATCCTTATTATCATGGCGACCACTAAAGAGAGATCCACAATTGCGGAAAACCCCAACTTGAGATTCTTCCAAGAATGAGGGTCCCCAATGTTTTGCACGATGCTGTTGAGACAACAACTTGCAAAATAATCTTAGCGGTTTAAGGTTCAGGGTAGCAATGAGTAGCCAAAGGCCACCAGGGTCCTCTGTGGACGTGTGAGGAAAGCTTGCCATGTTGAAGTCCGGCGCGGGAATCTAATGTAGAAGCCTGCATGAGCTATAGTCTAAACTCCTTAAGGGGGTTATATAGGATATTATATAGGGGAGCATCATAGCGGTTACTAAGGGGGATACTAGGAGTTTAGACGCCTATGGTTCATGTGGTGTAGGTCACCTCAGATAGGCCCTAAAGTTGTTGATGAATCAGGTCCAGGCAGTATGCTATTCTACACGCCGTAAGCAGACACGTGGTAAGAAAGCTGGACTTACTCGCTATTCAGCCACAGATAGTTGCAAGCGACAAGTGTATGTATATACGGTCCCGACCATATATGTCTATGTCATCGATACCCCCTGCCGTCCTCAAATTCCTACATGCCCGATCGAGACGAACAAAAGCTGAAGCTGCGAGGCCTAAGACCCAAAACCCCGGACACGAAACCCATAGTAACCATGGCAATATCAGGAATTATCAGAAGAATCATAATAGTAGAAAATAGTAGCAAAAACATTGATAATAGTAATCATACGAACGATCATAGTTGTAGCCGTACTTATATTGCATAGTAAGAATAGTAATAGTAGTAGTACGATACAGCCATGTGCCAGGTGAAGACTACCATCGGCTTCGGATCCCCCAACAAGGTTGGGCAGCCGTACTGTACCGTTCAGGGTTTAGGGTTTGGGTCTGGTGTGGGAAGTGGGAGTGGGAGTCAAGTTTAGGGTTTATGATTCCTTGGTGTGGAATCTTCAAACTCTCATCCGGCCCGTAGTAATGTTCATAGTCTTGCCCCAAATACTATAGCGTATTGTAAGGGACCCTCAAGACGGGACCCCTAATTCTTTGCGAAGCCTATAAGCCCAGTTTCCATTTTATGTTCCAATTTCTTCTTCAGATTTGACCCTCCACCCTCGGGTAATAATCCCTAAGCCCTACACGCAACACCCTAACTGATATCCTAGGTTCCATTTTCTTTCCACTCCCCCTATGCATCCCTATATAACCCTATATAATCCCTACATAATCCTCATATAATCCCTATATCCTTTTCCTTTACCCACGAATCTAGGCCGATAGCCACGATGCCCACGGCGCTCCTCTGGGTGCGGACGAGGCGGAGGCTACTCGAAAGCAGCTTGGCAGCTATGAGAAATGCCCCCCAATCAGGGGGAAAAAAAGAAGTGTACAGGGATATAATTAGGGGAAGAAGTGTATAAGGATAATGGAAAAGAAAGTGTAAACTACTAGTATTTGGGGATTATGTAGGGGTATATGGTAGTTTCCCCAAGGAGGGGGATCCCAATGTAGACCCCATTTTGCTGCAGTCATTCTATAGTCCTTATAATAGGGACCCCCAGAAAACACCCTCAAATTTTAGGAAATAGTCCCTATATAACCCTACGGAATCCATATATATATTTATATATATACATATATTCCCTATAGAACCCTATAGAATCCCTATATATTCCCTATATACATGTAATCCCCATATAACCACAAGTTTGTCCCTCCCTCTGACGTCATCCTCGGTGTTGCTTGTGCTCCACGCTTTTTTACGTTAGCATGAACTATCTAACCCAGACCCCTGATTAATAAATGCCTCCCCTAAATAGGGATTTTAACAGGGATCCTAATATTCAGGCCCTAAACCTTAAACCCTAAACCCTAAACCCAATATAATAGGGATCCTAATATGTTAAGGCCTTAAAAGGAGGATCCTAATATTCAGGCCCTTAAAAGGATTGTTAATCATGGGTCTACATTAGGAAACTGAGATGTGAGGAGGTGAGTCAGCCTGGGCTCATGGCCTAGGGGCTTTATAGGGATTATATAGGGAGGTGGGACAGAAAGTGAAAACCGTTAGTGTTTGGGGGTTATGTAGGGGTATGTGAGTCTTTTTTTAAAATGTAGGGAACAGCTTTTTGATTTCGGCCTCTTGGCGCCATATGTTGAGATAAAATTGAATTCTCCGGCAGTAAGCCATGTTACCAAATCGTCCGAATCTCCCGCTGACCTCGAAGACTTGGATCCCTGAAGTTAGCTATGGCCGGTATTGCGATTTTGAACATGGCTTTCCGCTACTGCCGCTAGGACTTCTTCTGGTACTTCTGCTATGAATTCAAGCGCTACTGCTAGCACTGCTGCTGCTACACCACCATTGCTTACGTTTCTACTACCCTCCTAGTCTTGATAGCTGTCCCCTTTCCCAGGCAGCTTGGCTGGAGCTACGGTGAGTTTGAGGCAGCTCCGGTCCATGTGAGGGAGGTTTGACTGGATTCTCCAAGCCAAAGCCTGATGCTCGGGGTCTAAAGAACGGATCTTAGTCTTCGTCCTGCATACAACATACCGACCAGACATGCATATTTCATTTCTTCAATGGTCTTGTCTTGTCGGCATATGCAGGCAGTGTTTTAAGTTCAGCCCGTCTTTGTGGGCATTTCACATGATTTCTAAACTTGCGAGCGCTAGGGCGTTAGTTCGATTACTGATCAGCCCAATCAAAGTGTTGTTCTTGTTTTTCTTGAACTGTTGTTGCTACTAGTGCTTCTGCCACTCGTAGTTCTTCTTAAGTACTGCTGGTGCTGCTGCAGTCGCTGCTGCTATCGTAGATCCCATTCTTAGCCCCCGTAGATTCAACCTGGAGGTGCCCGACCATGTATACGCGGCCTTCAAGAAGCAGGCGGATGCAGGCAAGGAGAAGTGCCTCGGACGAATTGGCAGTTTGAAGGTTTTGGGTGCCTGGAGCACATGGCCTGTTCATCAACAGCTGATTCAGGTCATTGGCTGGCAGAGGCAATTATCACTCTAGGTCTGATGTCAAGGAGCTCACTCAGCCCTTGACGGTCCCTTGGATTCATAAGACCAGCCTAGATATTGAAAACTTCCAGTTGCTTGACTATCTACCCTCCTCCTAATATTTAACCCTCCTAGTATAAGATAATTACTCCCAATATGCTATATAATATACCACAATGGGGAGTATTTGATATTGGAGTGTTGGGAGGGGGTTCAAAATTAGGGGAAAATTAGGGGGACGGGGCTACTACCCCAGGGCCCAGGAATCTCATTATCCGCCGAGGCAGGCCGAGTGGGACAAGCTCTTTGCCGCCTACAAGGTGGGTTACTTCATGTGATAATCTAAACTCCTTGAAGGGTGTTATATAGGGGTTATTTAGGGGAATACTATAGGGGCTATTAAGAGGAATAGAGGGGAATACCACAGGGGCTATTAAGAGGATACAAGGAGTTTGGACTACAGCTCATGGGTCATGTCCAGCTTCTCTGCGTTTGTAGGCCGTAGGCTCGGGCATAAACTTGTAGAACGCTCTGCGCAGGCTCCCACTGGAGCTTTCAAGGTTACACGTCTTCGTGACCCTCTATGGTGTTTTGTGGCATTTTGACCAGGATTTTGACAAGTTGACGCCAGTGTCCTCTGCTTGCGTGCCGAAGTTGTTATTTCTTGCATGCCTCAACTCGAGCATCTTACGGCAAGCCTCACTTGGCAAGCTGCATACACGGCCAAGTCTGGGACAGTCTGTGAGACTGGACTCTCATGTACAGGCCTGAGGCCCCCAGATTAAACTCCTACTTTCTAACCCATGCACCCTGGATAAGTGGCAAACATTTGGGACGGCAGTGCAGGAGAAGGAGCCGGAGCTTGCCGCGCAGTTCGAGCGCGCCGCAAGGAGCTCAGAAGTGGTTCAAGGCTTTGCTTTGAGCATATGAAGCATGTTGGAGGTTTGGGCTTATGTTATCAGAGTTTGTTGGCTTAACAGGGGGTGCTGTTTCAGGAGTGGCGCGCCGTAGGCACCCTGGTGACATGTAGAGACTTTGAGAAGATTCTAGGGACCCCGCTTAATTAAGCATGAGCTTACTTGAAGAACTATCTATGTACCAGCTTAGTTAGTTCAGATTCAGCCCCATTTGGTCTTGATAGGCCTTGTATACCTTCCAGCCTTGAGTACTGCCTCGTATGGCCCTGACATCAGTCTTAAACACTCCTCATGGGTGCCTGTAAGGATTCCACCTGAGTACATTCGTCGTCATAGCCCTGAAGTCATGGGCTCCCTTACTAACACCCCCCTCTATACTACCCCCGTAGGTTCCCCCCTTAATTAAGGCTATTCAGGGATAATCTGATGAAGCCGCCAAGGTGTTGAACAGGAAGCTGCCAGACAACTGGGAGGAGTGCCTCCCCAAGCTGACCCCTGAGGACAAGGGCAAGGCTGGGTGGAGCAACGTACAGCAGGTTTGGATATGTTTACACACTGGTTGTATCATCCCTATATAATCCCCAGAAAATAAAATCCCCTATTCCCTACTAAACACGAAACCCTATCTATATGCATTCCCTTATTCCCTACTAACCACCAGTAAGTTTAAGATGGTGATACAAGCCCCATAAGATGGTGGAAGGAGGCACCGTCCAGTTTAGCTAATCCGAGTTCGTCTCCAAAAGGCAACTCCACCCTGTGCGCACGGGCAACTCGGAGCGATCCGCAGCCTGAAATCCCTGGTTCCATTTCATTGTTCATTTGATTCTCTATTTGCTGACTTACATCTCACACCCTACATAATCCTCGTTTTCAATCATGCGCAACCTGTTTTTTTCTTTTAACCTGGGGCCACAGGCCATAGGCTCCACAGCTGCGGAAATTCTATTTGACGATTGTGTGTGTGCTTCCAGAAAAGGAGTCACCAGAAGGGTTGGGTCGATTGGTACATCACAAAACCTCCTACAACATGTATTTATTTGCCACTTACCCACCACACATGCCACTCTGAGGGAGGGTCATCGTGGAACACAGATGATGGCCCCGTGCTAGTTTGCGAGCTGACCTGAAATGCAGTGGTTGCTATCAAGCGCCTTGTCTTTCGTCTGCTGACACATGCGTTATTCCCAACATTATGGGTTGCATTTGGTATTGATACCAACTACGATACTGCGGTCTCTGAGTCCCTCACTACCGGACCGGAGGCCACTCGCCTTCATTCGCAGGACCTGGGCTGCTGTTTTGATGAAGTGTAGGCTTCCGCTTTGAAAGGCAGAAGGATAGCGGAGGAGGGCTTTAGTAGCAGCTTTAGGAGGCTGCGTTTAGTTCATTCCTTGAGTAGGATGTGTTGTCATGAAGGGAGCTGGCCACTCACTGAAGCCCAAACTTTCCATCCTGAGACCTGAACACAAACCTGCACACCTTGTGGGTCATGCTCTGGTTCCGCTTCTGCTGCTGCCGCTGCTGCTAAAAACAGCTTCTTGCTACTCATGCAATTCTCAGTATTACTATTAATTGCTGCTACTACCGCCACCATCATCATCCTGCCCGCCCGGCCCATATGCTCGTAGCTAACTTCGTCTTATGATTTTGGTTGTAGGACTGCCTGAACGCCATCGCCCCAGTGCTGCCGGAGTTCATGGGCGGCTCTGCCGATCTGGCGCCTTCCAACATGACCCTGATGACGCTTGGTCAGGATTTGGTTTCGCTCATTTTTTCGGTGGTGTTTGTAGTAGTCATGCATCAGACGAGCTGACGAATCGTCAGCATGAAGTGACCAACCTCATTAGAATCCAGCGAATTATACCTGCAGCGCAAATGCGCAGAAGAAGAATCTCAGTGGCAGTAACAACTGACGACAGGAAGTGCACTGGTGACTTCTTGAAGGACAGCTACTGCGAGAGGCCTGTCATTTTGTTTACTTGAGGATTTTTGGGTTCAGTTTTGACGCGCATCATTTTTCTAGCCTTGGGTCTTGTCAGGCAAGTTTCACGATGCTGCTATTTCAATCAATGAAAGGATGCTTGTGTCTACAAAATTTCAGGTGGGTAGTTTCCCCCCTATGAGCCTCACATATCCTTTATACTTCCTAGGCTTAGCACACATAAGACTTATGTAAGGGTACCCAAGTAGTAATTCCATTCCACGCCTGAAGATTCTTGACTAATCTGCGGGCAAACGTGTAGACACAAAACACACGCAGGGGCCTGTTGGAGGGAGACCGTTGGTTGGGAGACGGACGGGTGGAAGGCAATGCACGCGTGGTTTGTGCCAAAGCCACGGTTTACTTGGCTTTGTTGATGTTTCCCTTTACGAAGCTCGCGCTGATTCGCATTATCAGAGGTTCCTGCTGGAATTGCAGGCTACTCAGCACAATTCTGAAACCTCCAAAGAAGCCTCGTGCGCGACCCTTTCGACCATAGGATCACAGCAAGAGCCTTTGGGGGACAACCCTGCTCGGGGTTCCCACCTGCCACTCAACCATGCTTTAAACAGTACAGTACCTGGACCTTGAATGTCCTACCTTCTTGGAGGCATGCACTATAACTATAGGGGCCTCAAAATAATTATATTGTTTATTTCTGGTTTTTTTATAATCCTAATCACAACCAAAAAACATGATTTTTAGTTGGTTTCTGTGGCAGGTTTAGATAAATTACCAATGAAAATATAGGATACACCACCCAAAAGGGGGGCTGCACAGGGTCCAGGTAGCGAATGGTTGTGAACCTCGTCTCGAGAAGTTGCAAATGATGAGACGAAGCTATCAGACAATTCAGTATCTCTCATTGTTGTCATGTAATGGTGGGTAATTAGGCCTGAATTGAGGGTAGTTGGAGGGTCTAGGTACACAAGAATGTTCTACGGGTTCCTCAGATTTTGCAGCAGAAACAAACATGCAAGTTGTAGCAAGGAATTCAAGCACAGGGCCTCTGTTGAGGCTAACCTTGCCCTTTTTCCTGGCTGCAGCTCATGGAGGGGAATAGTTGAGGATTAGACTTGAAGCGCATGTGGCAGGAACTTCCGCTTCGGCATCCGCGAGTTTGGCATGGGCGCTGTGTGCAATGCTCTCTCTTTGGACAAGACAGGCCAGCTCACACCTAGCCGTGTACAGATTGGCATGTATGCACTGCTTCATGTCGAGATTAAATGACTTCGTCGTGCTTCCAAGGCATACGTATCAGCCAATAAGGTCTCAGCAGCGGTGCGTTCAGAGATCTACTTTGCGCTCTAAGATTTGTATGGAGGAGCAGCTGTTGGTTCGGACCTCGATTCTGTTGGCAATGGATGGGCCGAGGTTTGGGCTTTGGGGGTTTGTGGGGCTTTACATCAGCAAGCATGGAACCCAGTTTCCTTGCGCTTTCAAGAAGGGACTGATTATGATGTTCCTCAACTGGGGGTTGCACAGCCCTGTCTGTCAGGCAGCACAAAGCATGATATCATAAACCTAGTTTCCATTTGATGTTCCACGTTCTTCCCCCGTGGTTTTTTCATGTTTCTTTCCCACCCTGGCACCCTAAACCGTACTGAAACCCTCAACCCTGCATCCCTAGACCCAAATCCAAACATGTCAAAAGTCCCACTGTCGCAATGGAGGGGCCTCAGGCCCAACCTGGACCTGACGTCTTGGTTCCCCCACAGAACAGACAATGGAAAAATATACTTTACAGGGATATATAGGAATTTAACAGGGTTCAGGGATATACAACTCCGGTAACCATGAGGAATCGGAAAGAAAACCGAATCATTTACTACCATTTATTTTGTGTTATGTAGGGACACGGTTGGGTTGAGGGATATCATTCTCCCAATAGTGGATCAAATGCAACATGAAATCAAAACTGGGGTCATATTGGGCTTTATGCTGGGAAATCACGTCACTTTCACCTCCAGCCTCCTGAATTCCCAAGCTTGGCCCTTGGAGGCATCATCCCTTACTGCGCCACCTTCACCATCTTCACAGACTACATGCGCTCTGCCATCCGCAACTTGGCCCAACTCTAAACCCTACCCCGATTTTTTCTCACAGCTTATGAAGCACTGAACAATTCGCCCCCAAACGCTGAACCTGCAGCTGCACACCCTTTCAGCTTTGAAACTTTACCCCCACGCCTCAAACCCAACCCACCAAACATCAATGCAGCGCTGAGTTTTGCACCACTTCCCTCTGCCTCCGCGCTACATAGCCCTAGTTCAGAATGCCAGTCCACAAGGTTGCTGAGAAGTGAGTTTAAATCTTGCTTCCTAACAGGACCTAAAAACATCGATAGATGAAGCTCTCCTGAGATTCCGGTCTCCTGTGATCAAGATCCCAGTACATTGCGGACAGCTGCCGCTCCCATTCTCACTCTGACAGACTGCATGCCGCAGCCAAGATTCCCTGGAAAATCCAGAACATGTAATCCCTCAAAATGATGCCGTTACTACAGTGGGGGGATGAATGGATTATTGGGCTTTCCATGGTTTGGATCCTTTAGCGGCTCTGGGATTTCAAGTTTCCCTGCAACATGCCAGATGCAAGCAAGCCGATTAAGATTCCGTGAAGTACCTCCCAGGTCTTTCAAGAGAGCATACAGGCCCTTCATCATAATGCTTAGACATTGTACACACACACACCCTGTCTGGAAATGAAGTATACCTTGCCAGAGCCCAAACAGAGTGGGATAGAGTGGGGGACATGCTTCACATTCGGAGGAGAGAGAGTGTTGAATATCGGGCGGATGGTATCGTGCCCTAGGGCCCCTAGTGTGAGTGCAGCTTGTGTAAGGGGAGTCCAAAACGTAGGGTCCCATGTAGGAACCTTTGGCACCAGGATTGTAATGTTTTCCGCTACATAGGGGCTAGCACCTTGTTCCAAGAGAAACGTCTGTACTACCTGCAAGTTTGTCGTTGGCCCCTGCAAGGCTTTTCCGTAAAACCCCCTTGCACTGCGCGTTGGTCCAGCAAGAGGGTTTTCCGAGCCTACTACCTTTTGGGTGAGGTTTATTTGCAGTGGCTGCAAATGTCAAGTTTCCAATTTCTTCTCGATTCCCTGTATATAGCCTTTACATGACCCCTAAACTTAATAAATTGTGCTAGTGGAGGGGCGCCACTGCAGAGCAAGTCTCAGATGAAGCTGGAAAAAAGAAGTACAGAGTAAAGCCATCGCCCCAACCTGGGCCTCCCGATTCCATGCCTTGACGCTGCAAACCCAAGCTAGTGAAGTTTCCAGGTATTGCTGCCTTGTCGCAAGCCGGCACGATCTTTGTGACTACGCACGATTCCATCGCAGTAGGCCATCGGAAATGGGTTCCGGGTGGCGGACGACACGTTAGGGGTGTACAGACACTGGCCCAGTCTTTGTGGAGCGGCCTTCATGTACTGCTCACTACTAGCTGCTAGCTTGTAAGGGGAGTCCAACTTCCAATTGGGTACCCTGAGTCTTAAGCCTCCAGTCCAACCAAAGCTGCTTCCCTGGTTCACCCTCCTATCGAGACTTTCAGCGGCTAAGGCTCACAAGGTGCAGGGTTGGCTGTTGGTCCCTACTATGTCAGGATGCGCGGTAGCCCAACCTCCAGCCTGATTTTGAGGGCCATTTCAGCCGCACTTCGTCCGTAGCCGTCCTGAGCAAGTCGCCGCACTGGATGTAAGGAAGGCTGTTAAAGTTCTCAGTTCATGCACCTGCCAGAGCCTTTGCATATGGTGGCAGTCCCTGAGGGCCTATAAGACCCAGGAAGAAGATGGAATCAAACCAGATCATAGTCTTCCAGACTCTCATCCCGAGGCATAGGAAAACCACGTAGATCCAAAAGCCCGTCCCAGATGCTTGACACGACTCCCACAGCCAAAAGCCCAAATGCTCAGAAGCGACAGGCGAGGATGGCCCCACCCACCAGCCTATCGAGACCATTCCCTCCTTGTTGGGGCCTCAGGGAGCCAAGGTCATCATTAGCGTTATATAGGGGTTATATTCGGAGAATGGAAAAGAAAATGGAAGAGACTCCCATAGGGGTGATGTTGGGATGATGGACCCGGTCTAGGGAAGATGGTGAGCTTGAGTAAGGATCTTGTAAAGACTAGACATAAATTGTCCGATCGAAGCCTGGCTGAGAAGGACCCCCACGCTCGCCGCCCCTTTGCTCCCTCAGAAAGTGATGGCGCAGCAAGTCTGCCGATGGGTGGTGGATTCAAGGCTGGGGCCACAGGCTTTGGGACTGGAGGTTTGTATCACGGATATTCCGACATCTAAAGTAGAATCGTGGAAAGGCTGACGAACCGCGACCAACCATGATTTTTTCTCCTGCACGGCGAGGTCGGGGCTACAATCCAAGGCCCGGACCCAACAGCCCAAAGACGGTAAACCATGCAATATGTACCCCTACATCAACCCAATTATAGTAGTTTCCATTTTCCATTATCCTAGTATGAACTCAATATTACCAAAAAAACTTTGCAGGCCTTTGGCTCCTGCAGTGGCTTCAAGCTTGAGGTCTTCCGTGCACGCAGAACTCCAACCTCACGCCTCAGAATCTAAACCATAAGCTAGAAACTTCCAAACCCACCACACCTCGCATACTGAAACGTAGAGCCACGCTCTCGGACTGTAAGCCATCACCTCCACACCAAATACCAAGCGGAGTGTCCTGTAAGGCGCTTGATCCCGGACCTCACGGCCGGAGCCTATGTTTACCCGGGACCATTGAAACTCAAGAGCTTGGTGGGTAGGAGTAGGTCTGAGTAGGCTCCGGATTTCAGAGTTTCAAGTTGAAGTTCCAGGATTGAATCCAGGCAGGGTACAGAGGATGAAACGTTTGGGGATTTGGGTGTCCTTCACAAGTTGGCCCCCCTGCGCCCCCCTTGCCCAAAGTATTCTCGTTATTAGAGCCTCTGGCAATGTGGGTCCATGATTTTGAGAAACCCCCCACTGGAGCTTGGGAAGGAATGGGGGCTGTTGGTAGTTGCATGTAGTTAGTTTGGGAGGCCTCTTGCTTCAAAGCCTTGGTTCTTCAACCTGATGCTGGCAAGCAGTCACGCACAGACATACACTAAGACAAAGCTCAGATTGGTTGCGCGTTTTTCAAACCTAAGTAAAAGTGTAACCGATAAAGGATGCTACTGTGCCATGATACGTGCAGAATCTATTGCACAAGCAACAAGCTTGAAGCCTTGGACCCAGGTCATGAGGCCTGCGGATGGCAATGAGACGGCCGGTGCCTACAAGTGGGGGCCTTTGCTGGCGACAGACGTGGAGATTTTTTCAAAATGGGGGTACCAAGACGACCCTAGGAATTTGAGTGGATCACACCGGAGTTTGTTGGCCAGATCTCTTGTTGCGCAGGAAGCTTTCCGAAAAACGGAGTTGGCCAACACAATGACAGCAGCAAGAGTGATGCTGGTAAGTGATGTGAGAACTGCGGCGACGGTCATTATTACCTTTCTTTGAGATGCCTTTGGGGAAAGATTTGAAGTACTCGGATAGGGCTGAGGGCTTGTATTAGAAGGCCTGTACCCAGGTTTCCAGCCGCTACCTGGGCCCACTGCAGATTAGTTTTGGAGGATATGTAAGCAGACACGCCAAATGCCATCCTTCCCGTGCTTGTCAGGGGTGTGACCTGCGGTAGTCACCAGGTATGCCGTGGAGCGCTCCAAGTACGAGTCGAGGCCTACCATGATGGCGTTCTCCCGACAGGCGCCAGACTGGTCCTGGAGTTGCCATAGCAGAAGCGAGAGCAATGGCCCAATGGCGATAGCAGATGCAATCAAATTGTGGCATGGGCAGAGCCACCATGCCAGTACTCTAGTCGCACACGGAATTCAACACCTGCAGCCTCAAGAAAGCCCAAGCTCCCAATGCTCAACCCCCACAGCTGTAAGCTCCACGAGGCGCTCCCAAACATTCCCAACTCCTCCATCGAGAACACCCTGAAGGGCAAGCGGCTCAGCTCTGTCACCTTTGTCATGCAGATTCATGTTAGTGGCTAAGATCTGTGGGTTCTTCAATCATTATCATTCACAGCACCCATGCTGCAGCATACGTACTACTTCTTCGAAATATAAATCGGATGGTACTTCGTGGTCATGACCCATATAATAACTCTCTCCTTGATTTCATTAGGCTTGTGTTTAGAGATCTCACCCAGCAAAGCTGGAGATGCGCCTTGCTGGTACCTGGGTTACTGTGCCAAGCTTTTGTCCCATTCTAGGAGCTGCTGCACTTGTGCCCGCTCAAAGATTGCAATTGCGCGCATCATGCTGGCCAGGATGCTTTTGTTCCTGACTGCTTACACCCTATGGCCTTAAAGGTCCGATCAGTTTGGTCGCTCCCAGCGCAATCTTCATGTTTTGATCTGTTAGGACGGAAGTCATAGCAATACTGACGACAACAGCAACAGCACTAACACTACCATCACCATTATGACTATGCTTTGAAGCTGCCGAGTCTTAAAAGGTGCCTACGAGGTGGTGGAGTGCGAGGACCCCGAGATCATCCTCATCGGTACGGGTTCGGAGGCGCTGGGGGTGGCTTTCTTTATAGAAGGAGTTGGGGTAATCTAAGGCACCCCAGAGATGTATGGAGATTCTGCAGGCCCCTATTTGGCAGCTAAAGAGGACATCTTCAGAAACTCGCATACAGGGCACGAGATGGGGAGCTTTGAGTATTTACGTAGACGTTAGAGATGATTAGAGCTTACAGTCTGTAGGTTTGAGAGCTTCTTGGCAGGGGCACTTGGGGTTCAGGATATAGCGGGGGAACGCTTCAAGGTTTTAGGGCCCCGTCGACGGCGATGAATTGTATGCTGGATCTCCGAGAGAGTTGAGGGGTATTGGAGAGTTGAACCCCAAGAATGCCCTTCTAATCCGTAAGTATTACTAGAGGAACCCCCAATCATCGAGGGCTTCATGGCATTCACCGCTGCAACCGGGCGCAGCCCGGATACATGCTCAGGCTTGCAAGGCACGGGCGCATTTTAGGCCTGACCCGAATATTGTACTCGTAACCCGGCTATAGGTCCCTTCAGTCCCTTAATAACACCACTGGCTCTTTGCAACAGAGGTGTAGTTAGGGCTCAAGAATAGGTTCAACACCATACGCCAACAGTCCGCTACAAATGGTAATGGCGGGCTTGATACAGGGCTTCTATGTGGGCGCTGGGCCTCAGGTATGTCCTCAAGTCCATTACAAAATGATTTGAAAGAATGGAGGTAGTGTTTCCCTCGTGCCCACATTTGCAGAACAATGTAGTTGCCATGACATCCGAAAACCGATGCTAGTCTCTCTTGTCTAATGTGTGAGGCTAAGCCCTTTTCAAGGAATCAGATTTCAGCAGCCGGCGTCCTTGACCAGCTTGCATTCGGGATACACATATGGGACCTCAAGCATCTTCAACCCCTGACACTACTTGTAGCAATTGATTTCTATTACGTTTATACAATATATTGTTGTGAGACTATTACTCTTCATCACGTTTATTATGTTGCACCACAAGCCTGGAGCATGACCTGAAGTGGACGTGCAGGTGCACGTGTGCATTGATGCAGCCAAAGACATGGACCAGAAGGCACCTTGTGCGGGCAAATTGGTGGTTCTTGAAAATCTTGGCTGGATATATTCTGACTGTAGAAAATGAGGCGCCGTGACCTAGCACCTTGAACCCTAAGTCTCACAAATCAGGAGCAATTCCAGGGGCCACCCTCCAAAGCATACCTGTACATAAGCAACAGGAGCGCACCGCTTAGCCGACCTGTCCGAGGTGCGTGTGGTGTCGATGCCCTCTGTGGAGGTCTTCCGATCGCAGCCTGACAGCTACAAGGACTACCCAGACACTGACTTGACAGCCCCGCATCGAAAGCATTCCATGCAGACTCCCAGGTGCATGTACTAGAAACCTACCTACATGACCAAACTAGCATGCAGCAGATCATACCTGCGTAGCGAGGTTGCACAGGGAGCACCTGCACCAAGGCTAATCAAATTTCAGCTTTCGCTTAGAGTGCTAGAAGGGTTATGCAAGGCTATGGTTTAGGTCTTCGAGATATTGGGTTATGGACACCAACCTCGAAAACGGGAATGTCTGCCAAAGCGTTGCGAAGTTGGTCACCGACCATGCCGCCCATCATGTGCCCAGCTCCAAAAGAGTTCTGCAGGTTTCCCAGCACCCTCAACATCGAGCCGACCCCTAGCCCTGGAAGCCTTTTACCCCCCATACCCTATGTTTCCCCCGCCCCAGAGCTCTAAACCTTTAAATTCCAAACTCTACAGCGCTGACTCCTTGAACTTGGCAGCTTATCAGTGTGAAGGAGTCCCTCCTCCCCAAGGGCGTGCCCGCACTCAGCGTTGAGGCTGCGCATCTTTATCATGTTTCAGGGGTAGGCGGTATGCGCGGCTGCCAAGTACGACGCTTAATCAGAGCTGATCTTTCGCTCCAGCTCGCAAGGTATGGCTTGGGCTGGGCGCTTAAGATGTTGACTGGTTGGGATCAGGTAGACTGCGTAAGCCTTAAATTCCTGGTCCCTACACCAACATCGGCCCTAGACGGTATCATCCCCGAACCCTGAATCACGAGTTTATCGTACCAGAGCTTCTCAAAATGAGGGTAGTTTTGGGACCCTCACGATGCACTGGGGCTTTCAGGGGAGAAGGATTCTGTGGGGGTTACTTTGAGGAGGTAACAGGAGCAGCGGCAACACGAAGAGCCCACATGCACCATAGTCTAGAGAATTGCCCCTTAGGCCCAAAGCATAAATGACCCAAACCCCATCATGCTCACAAAGCATGACCTTGGATTCGCGGTTACCTTTCGGTCTCGGACTTCAACCGTCACACCAACATTCCCAAGAGACCCATAGCATCAAAAGCTTCGCCAAGTTCCTATCCTTCCTTGTGTCAGGCCGCGGTCACCACTGGCTGGGGGGAGTTCTCCACAGCGCAGGTCGTCTGAAGGGTCAGGATTTGGGCTCGGCATCTTGGAGTTGAGACTTCTGGGCTTAGGTTTAGCTGAGATCCTGAATCCTGTCACACGACAAATCTCAAGGAAACCTCACAGCTGTCCACCCCTTCACCAGGGTGGTTGTAAAAATGTTGGTCCCTTTTTGGGTCCCTATTATAATACGGCACCTAATATTTAGGGTACCCAAAAAGGGACCATAATTTTGACAACCACCCACCAGGTGGGTATCAACGTCTTCGGCGCCTCTGCGCCGGGCGGCACCTGCCTGGAGAAGTTCGGCTTCACCGTCCTCTGGCTCCAGGATGTATATCCTCCTAAGAGGTAGCAATACAGGGATATACAACCCTACAGGGTTCATAAAGGGTAGCTGGCTCCAGGATGTATATCCTCCTAAGGGGTAATACAGGGGTATATTATGGCCTGGATTATATGAGGGTAGTTGGAGAACCGAATGGAGAAGAACATGGAAGATAAAATGGCAAGCCTTAAACCCTAAAGCCCTAAACCCCTAACCCTATATAACCTTATTATAGTAACTATAGTAGTTTCCATTTTATTATTTTCCATTATCCCGATCTTATCTCTACATATGAGTAGTTTCAAAATTATAGTCCCTCCTAGGGTCCCTATTATACTACGGCACCTAATCTTTAGGGTACCCAAAAAGGGACCATAATTTTCACAACCACCCTAAACCCTAAACCCTGAACCCTATAGTAGTTTCCATTTGCTTTTCCATTATTCCCTTTGGAACCCCTATAACCACCCATATTGACAACCACCCATATAACCCTCATGGCGGGTTTATGGTCCATAGGTTGACAATCAGGCCCGAGCTCCTCAAACTCCGATGTTTCCCTGATATGGGCTGTAGTCTAAACTCCTTAAAGGGGGTTCTATAGGGGATTATGTAGGGGACTACTATAGGAGTTATTAATGGGGATACTAGGAGTTTAGACAGTAGCTCATATGGGGGGTTCCCAAAATTTTGGGCCACTTTTGGTTATAGGTTATATGGCGTATTTAGGTGTACCACAATGGGACCCTAATGTTGGGTACTACCCATATTATCTCTGTGAGAGCCAAGCTTTTTGCTGTTTTTTTACGTGAAGGGCTTTCACTGAAGCGTTTCTTTTTGGTCTCTTGCAAGAGGGTGCCACTTGTGAGTGTAAGATGAATCGCCTACTATAGAACAAGCTTGCAGGCGGTGAAGATGCAAAGTGACAAAGTCAGGGTTTGCTTAGTCCATTTGTCTTCAGGGTGCATATTCTGACCGTGTTTCTTCTATGTCTCTCACATATTGCTGTACACATGGGCTTTGAGAACCCGTGATTCTTCCAGTCCATTCAAGGCTGTTGGCACGAGCTAAATGTTTCTCGGATTTAGGCGTATTTAGCTTACTAGAGGGACCCCCAAAAAGGCATCGTCAATTTACAGAAACGGCCATTCAAGCCGTGAGTGTCCCACCATAGATTACTATAAAATGGCATCTTGCGGCCTTTTGTGTTCAATGTTCCGTTTCACCTTAACCCTTGGAACAACAAACTCCTTCGGCCTCTCTAGCCCACAAAGAGAGACCTCCAGATTGGAAATCCTTTTTTTCAGGGAAAGATTGCGAAGCTTGTGAACCGGATGAAGGTGGCCAATGCTCATTGCATGTGTGCAAATTTGGCGTGAGGTCCACCAAGAGACCAGAAGAAATCCGGCCATTTCTGAGATACTGGCGTCACCATGAGGGTTTACACGGTTGCGTGAAAAAGCTTGACCACGCATGCGAATAGCTATAAGAAGCCGAAATGGCAAAGTGCAAACTGATACACAAAGCACTGGAATTATTTCGGAACCGGTTGTAATTTCTAGATACAGTCATGCGGACATGTTATACTTCCAACAGGCCACACATTGAAGGGCGCTCAAAATGAAACCTCTGGCGCCTGTCACTATACGGAACAGTTTGGGGCTTAACAAGGTGACCTTAGATTGAAAAAACTTGCAACTTGGGAGCCCAGATGATGTAGAAGTTTGTATATGTCTGGTTTTTGCATCTCTAAGGTTCAGGGTACAGGCATTATTCAATAATACTCATTCAATTTATGTAAATGGTCTTTTGAAAAGGTTTTCAAAATACTTAGGGCCCTAGATTACGCAGCTAAACGAGGAAGCTAAGCCGCAATCACAGCTCCTAAGCCTCGGAAAAAAGCCGGCTTCTACGCCTGGAATACAGTGAAACTGAACGCAACACGATTGGATGTATCAACCACCCTCTCGAGCCATGCCCAGCGTTTCCCTACGGACTTCTGCGCGCACGGAAAAGGAGTCAGGATGATAGGTGCCTAAAGTCCGGACTTCTTAACACTACCCCGAGACCCCACACCCCACAACTACCCAAACCCACCAAACTGATTAGCATCAGGCTGCCAACGTCAAGGAGTGCGCCGAAAGGCGCCATTGGGGCTTATGTAGGGGGCTTCCTGCAGGTGCCGAGAATGGTGGGGCGCCGCAAAATGGGCTTCAGGTTCAGGTCTTGGGGAGTAAGGGCCTGTAGGGCTTATAGGGTTTAGGAACTTTTAGGGCATGCTTAGGAAGAGGTGGCGGTTTAGTGATGTTTCCGTTAGTTCCGTTCAACTGCTATGGTTTGTCCAGGAAAAGCTACTATGGCTTCGATTGATGCCAGAAATCCTGCACCATTCTAGGTACCCTAAGTCTGAGCAGTTATAGAGTACTTTGGGAATAGGTGGTGCTAGTGGTGCTGCCGCCGCTGCTGCTGTTGCAGGTGATAGCGCTAATACTCTGTTTCCTGCGACTGCTAATGCTGCTACTACTGCTGCTACTTCTACTACTACTACTACTACTACTACTACTCCTCCTCCTCCACCTCCTGCTGCTGCTGCTGCTGATGCCGCCGCTACTGATACTGTTGGTGTTTCCACTATTGGCCGTGCGCCTCCTCGACTCAATCCCGTGCAGAATGTGGAGACAGATACATGCTATACCCCACTATTCCACTGCTCATTGAGAACAAGAAGAGCCCAACACCCAGGACCCTGGCCCTAGACCAGAAAGCCGCCTAGACCGTTTCATGACCACCATTGAGCTTGTACATTGTAAACATTTGAAATTTTGGACAATGCCGCATCTACTGAGCCTAAAGCCCAGATTAGGTTGCTGTTGAGGAACTTACATTGAGTTACAATAACAAGAAAAGCCTATCATTTACTATATACCCATATTCTGGTAACTTACTTTGTGTTCCTTCACAGCAACCCAGACTAGACAGCCTGAGAGGTGCCTCAAGGGCGAGACAGGCTGCCTGTCGGACGGCTCGCAGGGAAAGCACTGAGCAAAGGAAGCGGCGTTGCATGCTCATTGCAGGGCTTGATAGAGTTCAGGAGCCGCAGGTCAAGACTTGGGTATTTCTAAACCCTAAACTACAAGGTTCCTGAAAATGATGCTTAATTTCTGTTACCTAGAATCCTAATATTTAGCTGAAATTCTAATGTCTACTGGGGTTCCAAATCCCTTAGAGTAAACCCTAAACCTGGGGTGACCCAGGGCTCAGGACGAGGATTAAGGTTTGGGTTTGGGCATCAATCCTCTGCAGGCATTTTTGTTTTAGTTACTGGGATTTGTTTGATCCTTTCGCGCAAAGGCAGGGCTGTCGGGATGAATTGGAGTCGGTCTTGTAGAAAACTGAGCTTGCTAGCCTTGAGTCCAAAAGCCCCTATAGTGATTCCTCCTTAATTGATGATTTGGTCTCGCAACCAAAGTGTAAGATTGCCGCTGTCTCCCGGGCACCTACGAATAAGGACTGCGTGCATTCTTTGGGATGTCAGCGCAAGCTAGTTTTGATAGCTAGCAGCGAACACGCAGAGGCTCCTACAAGGAATGAGACTCTTGCAACAGCTGCAGCGATGTTAGCTACACTGGCAGTGCAAACAAACAAGGGGCCGCTTGTCCTGGCACTTCAAGCAACAGCTTGGAAGAACCCGAGTACAAGACGTGACGCCCATCCCAAGGCCCTACGCCTCACCCAGAACCTACTGCGTCTCGCCCAAACTACTAATTACATCAAAGGTGCGCAAAGCCCAACTGCTGATAACCTGCGTTGGTGCAGGATTGGAAGGCGAGTCTCTCTGAGAGGCTGCTGGGTCTCACCGACTTTTAAAATCTCCATATCATAACGGACATGTACACTTTCACACTACATGTACTAATTACTAATCAACATGAAGTGAAGGAAGTTAAGCTTGAAAGGTAGCCTCCAGCCAACCAAACATGCACAGAGCGATTACAAAGCTTTCAGCCCCGTGGCTTGCTTCATCGTTTTTTCCTCCGTAGTTTTGCCGAAGATGCACGGTGTGGCGAAGGCTGCGGCCAGGTTTAGGGTTTGGGGATTTTGGGGGGTCCTATAGGATAGTGGAAAAATCGCAAGTACTATTTGGGGTTTAGGGATGTTTAAGGGCTTAATGAACGTTCTCCACTGTGAAGATCAAGGCTGCGTAGTGGCACCGTTCCTCGTTGTTAGCCTCAGGACGGTTCTAGATGTTGCAGATAGGGTTTAGGGTTTAGGGTGTAGGGTGCAATCCAAGGATTTAGCAAGAAATTCGGGGCATTGGAGTTTTGTTCATGGGTTAAGGTTAAGCTGCAAAGTCCACTGGGGCTATACGTCCTGCTGAGCCAGGTTTTGAAGAGCCCCTTTCAAGCTCTAAACGGTAGTTTCAGGGGGACCCCAATACCCAAAACGGGTACTTCTAATTTTGGGAAACCCTTAAATGTGGAGGACCGCGTGAAAATCCACAGTATTTCAAGTTCGGCAGTAAGGCCCGGCCGTGATGTTTCAAGGCCTAGCCTTGACAGCCTACTAAAACAATATACAATCCACGTTGAAGCGTTGAAAATAAAAGTCAAAGCCGATTACAATCAGTTAAACTCAACTCGCAACCTCCTAAAACCTGATATTAAAACCTGATGTAAATCAACTCTTAAAATCTAATCTACAAGAATTTCAATTCAATTAACAACAAAGAAATCGAATTGAACGAAGTCAAAAAAAAAACTAGAGCGGCCTCACATTTAACCCACCAAGCATCTGCACATAATCAATCACCCTCCACACATTTTTGCATTATTGAGGATCAGGGGGTCTGCTGGCGTACACCCCTTGGAATTTGATTGTCCAGCCTCATCAAATCAGCAACTTAATCAGAAATCGATGGTTTTCGGTGGCATCAGATTCCAGGTTGCTAAGGAAACAGAGCCCTATGTAAATCCTAAATCCTGAATCCTTAAAAACCTACAGCCCTAACAGCCCGGCCTTCACATTCAAAGCCCTGGCTTGTTTGAACCAACACAGTTCTGGCCTCATCAATAAACCTTTCCCAGATTTTTCCGGCAATGAGCCACCCAAATCGATTTCAAAAACATTTTACTTTATTGGGGACCCCCGCATTGGTCAGCATTACTTTTGTTGGACAGACTTCAGTCTTGAAACTAGTGGCCAATCACCATGGCCCAGGGCCCGCACGATCTGCCATCAATTGCCAGTTCATATTACTACTATTGCTGTTAAGAAGTGTCGGCAACTTCCGGGTTTATTTGCACGGAGACTTTATAGGTTGGCAGTGTAAGGGAAACAACTCTTGCTTGTGAAGCCTGCTCTTGCTAGTTTGTGATGAAGCGAGAGCAAGTTCTATGCGGAAAGCCCGAAGGACTTCACAGAAAATCGTTACTGGCACGGTTAGGGGTATCAGGTCTCGTCTGACGGGTTTTCAACTGCAAATTACACCCGGGAATGCGAGAAAGGATCCACAAAGTTGTTCTTTGCTTCATCCCATCAACTGGGGAAATCCAATGATCCATTCCCTCGGTCTTTAAGATTCACCGTCACCAACCGTCTCCTTGGCCTGCGTCGAGAATGTCAAACCCTTTAAGCTGGAGAGCATGTTGTGAGTAAATATTTTCATGGAAGTCAGCATAAGTTCCCAGATGCATTGTTTCATGTATGACACGAGGCTTTTGAGCCCGCAAAGCCCTCAGCAAGTTTGCTAAAGCTGTCTGAAACGCCAAATGGCTGGCAACCTCGCCAATTTCTTGACCGTCTCAGCGGCTCTTTGTGCCATCAGACCCTAGATGCCAGTGTCACAACAGTGAATATGCTTCTCTTAGGTGAGGTGAGAATAGTACAAATGAATTCTGAAATGATTTGGAATCTTGATTCACCCCAAACAGCCCAAATTAGGTCAGGATAGGACAGGGGAGCGTTATGAAAGCTCTGTGCCAGCTGTCGTTCCTGCAATGCCCCGTGGTACTTCAGTCCTTTATAAAAGGCTCTCTTATCATGTCTTTCACACTCAGCCCCCCGCTGCCGTAATGGTGGGAGTACTACTAATAGTTACTAGTAGCAAGAATGCCAATCGGCGTAAAATGTAACTTAAGCACGGTAACAGCCAAGCTGCTGCAGCAGCAGCAACAACGACAACAACAATGATAGCTGGTCTGAAGGCACAGCTCTTCAGCAACGACTGAAGGTATTGTTGTAATCTCCTCGACAATTCTCCGATTATGATTAGCCGGTGGTAGCATGCAGAAAAAGGAGAGTGCATGCTTGCCCTGCTGAGATGAGCACCACTCAATAATTCAATTCTGAGCGCCCTGACTGGAGCCAATTCGTGATGTGGCAAGAAGCGCTGAATCCAAGCATTCCGATTCACAACCTACACGCAAAGCGGTTGTTTTTTTCACGATCACTTCCGTACAGAACCACGGAACCCATTTGTTGTACTTCGAGGGTCCTCAAGCGTAGCAATATTTACAAGCCTTCACATGCTCTGTTTTCAGTACCGTCATGTCCAGAGTCTGGAACAGTAGGGCAACATGCTCGGCTTATGGTTTACAACAGAAGCCAGAAAGCTGGCACGTGCGTATCTAGGAATCAAAAAGTGGCACGAACCATGTTATTTCCATATTCTAGCTTGTTGTTTTTGTCGGTAGGGTTTAGGGTACAGGGTTCCAGGAAGGTATCCTTACCACATGAGCAAAGCCTAGAGCAAGCGACTTGGCCTGTTTTTCCCTGACCTTGCAGCATTTTGCTTCAGATACATTATACAGGATTTGACCCAGAGCCCGTTTGATCGAGTGTGCCTTGGCTGAAGTGGCAGGAAGCGCCGTACGCCTGAGCGTAGTTTTGACCTACAGATCGTTGAAAGGGGCTCCCTGCCCCTCAAAAAATGGAAGCGCAATGAATATTAAAGGGGTATTTGGGGTTCCATTTGAGCTTGTCCGAGGCGAGTGAAGGTCAGAGCACCAACGCCTCGGCTTTCGACTGTTTGACAAGTGCTGAATCTCCTGTTCAAAATCTTAGTGCGGATTAGTAGGGAATAAGTGAAATCGCTATACATCATAATATAGGGGTTATGATTCCCTTATTCTCACCCAGTATGTAATCAATGGTGAAACTTGGCCAAGTGGCCGCCATCAGCGCGCACAACTTGCAGCATCTTCTACAGCATTCTGCTTGGGGTGTCACTAACTTGTTACATGCTCTGAGCATGCGCCGTCGCTGCGGCCAGAACTAAGTACAGTCTTTGAGGCACGGGCCGCTGTCAGAACCCATACACGCACCCGCTTGCAAAAGCTGTACCTGCAGTATCATACTATTACACTACTGTACTATCATACAGGAAGGCCCTAAACCCTAAAACCCTAAACCCTAACCTTCATCCCTGTCCTCAGTTTGCATACGACACCTAAGACCTACTCATAAGAGATGGAGTCTGAACTGCGTAAAAGGGGTTATATAAGTTAATAAGGGACTTCTAAAGAGGCGATTATGGGTGATGCTAGGAGTTTCGACTGTGGCTCATGAGGGCTTGTCCAGGGAGGGTTGGGGGTGAAGGCAAACGAGTATGCCTGGCAAAAGCTTTGTACATACCTAGACTTTGCTTCAATTTGAGATGATCCTAAATCGTAGTTTCCATTTTGTTTCCCATTACCCCAATATATCCCCAATATAACCTCAATATATACCCTATAATCCCCTATAGAACCCCTATATAACCCCTATAATCCTTGTAGTTTCCATTTGACTTTCCATTATCCCAAAATATCCCTTGACAGGCAATTCATCTCCAGGCTCCTCAAGCATATGGGTGGTTATCAAAGTTAGGATCCCTTTTTGGGTACCCCAAATATTAGGTGCCGTAATATAAAGGGACCATAATTTTGAAAACCACCCGTATCAAATCACATCCAAACCGAAGTTGCTGAAATACCGGTACCGCTTCAAAGAAGAGCCAATGGAGACTTTCTTCCAAAGCCAAACCCATCCGGGAAATGAGTGGAAGTCCAGGCATCATGCCGTCTACTCGTCAGCGCAACACTGCCGCTTTTCTCTGCATATGCTGCATGACAGTTCTTGGGCATTGTTGCCACTATGGGCTATTAGACCTTAAGGGTACCTTAATCTACCCTTAATAGGGCCCTAATAGGGAATTTTAGGGTCTAATAGCCCATAGTGGTGTACGTACCTTTCAAAGCGGAGCTGTCGCCCAGGTCCTCGCCGCTGCGGCGACCGTGTCCGCCGGTGCGCTCACATTTGCAGCTTGACAATTGTCACACATATGAGCCATAGTCAAAACTCCTTAAAGGGGGTTATATAGGGGATTATATAGGGGACTACTATAGGGGTTATTAAGGGGTATACTAGGAGTTTAGACTATAGCTCATATGTACAGGGACATGACATCCGGGGCACGCGAGCGACACATATAGCTTTCATGCTACCTATCCCAACATATCAATTCATGCTACCTATCCCAACATATTAATGCTTCCCCCATGTGCAAGTAAGTTTAGTCAAATTCCTATGCAGCTCTGTCTTACCTCTAATATGCCTCAATTTGAAATGAGATCCCAAGAGTCCCCCCCTAGCGGATGCTCCGAATCTCCAAGGTGGCGCCTCCCAGCACTCCCAGTGCGGCGCGTGTAGAGCCAGGTGACATGTTCTTGAAGTACTTACTTGGGGAATTTTAACTAAGGGCTTCTTTCAGTGAATGTTTGGCTGTTATGTCCAGCTTGAAGTGATCCTGCAGGTTGGAGGGGTATTTGGGGATCCTCATTGTCACGACCCTTGTGTTCCGGGTTTCCCACAAGAATGAAGTAGCCATGGATTCACATCAGGTGGGCGTGCTCGGTTCAGGATAGCAGAATTTGAATGGGGCTATGCGTCTGACGTACTGTCAGATGGGATGGAAACGGTGGAATCCAGTTTGACCTAGGAGTGCGCTAAAGAAAGCTGAATTGGAGCCTGCATGCATGCATGCATTGTCACAGTGCTGAGTTTAGCAACAGTCACACCCCAACCAAGAACCAGCACTTGCATATGCTGGTGCTATCTGAACCCACTGTAGTTTTTTGTCTGAAATGTCCAGCCTGAACCTTCCTGTCACCTATTCCAACTTTGAACTCCCCCAACTACATTGATAGATCCCATCCTGCAGGGACTCCTTCCATGAAGGCCCCCTCTCCGCAAAAGATTCCTTTCAAAGGTATCCCAGCCTTCTTTAAACGGGAGCCTCAATGTATTCCATTTGTTCATCCTTGCTAGGGACCCCCCATGGCTTTCTCATGTATATGACCCCTAAAGCCTTAGCCCCAGAGAAATGATCATTTACGAGGCGTTGCCGCCGGTCATGCGGCTGCCGCCCAGCCCCAGAGCTCTGTGGGCGCCACCACTGTGGCTGGGCCACTATGGGGGGACATGAGGCAATAGTCTTTAAATGGGGTTACATAGGGCAGGGGTTATTAAGGGGATACAAGGAGTTTAGACTATAGCTCACATGAGTCAAGAGAACCTGCCCCAAGAATTTCCGAAGACCTGCCGACCATTGTCTCAAACATGTTGTATGGGGCCTTGTTCTGGGGTACCCACGATGGGGGCATGGAGAGGAGCCAAAGTCTGGAGGGATCACCACGTGTCAGGCCCCTATAGTAGGGAGAATCAAGCTGCGTTTGCCTGAGCAGGGGCTGCTGTAGGAGTTGTTTCTGCTGCTTTGTGCAGGGACCAAGGGCTACGCCTAAGGCTCCTATGATATTTTCTCCGGATCCTACAGGGGCAGCTTGAGGGATTCTTAGTTGAAGTTTAGTGGCGGCTCTACTGATTACTCAGGTGGGTGCGGCGATGCTGGCAGCGGGATGCGCCGCGCGCATGACGACCAAGGGCAAGGCAGGTTTTGGGATGACGGGGTTGCATTCAGGGTTTGGTTTAGGGATATTACCCCAATAATGGAAAATCAAATGGAAAAGAAAATGGAAAACGAAATGGAAACTAATATACTGGGGTTATATAGGGTTTAGGGATGTTACCCCCAATAATGGAGAATCACATGGAAAACACGATGGAAAATGAAATGGAAACTGAGAGACATGAGGTTAGGAGCGGAAGGCCACGATTCTCGTTTTGGGTTCGCGAAGATTTTTGCAGAAGTTGAAGGATTCAAGCTTATCCAGGCATTCTTAGGAGAGGTGCTTCCGTGTATACTCCGGACAATGGATCACGGTATGTTGAGCCTGTACTCAGTGGGAACTGTACTGGGAAGAATATCTCTCAGTCTTTCTAAATGTAGTAGTTTCCATAAATAGGGAGCCCCGATGCAAATATTCGAATCCTTATTATAGGGACCCCCCAACGGGACATACACATTCCGACAGCTTGCAAGAGTACAATTACAAATCCAACAGGGGGTCACTCTCACCCTCTTGTACTCTCTGTGCATGCCTCTACGGTCCTTGAGGATGCCAGTCATTTGCGGGTTGAGGGTTTAGGGATCAGGGCTTAGGGCATAACCATGGTCTGGTTGCATTGGCATTCCTAATGAATTTGGGGACATACAGACCAACAATTTGGACCATATTTTGGACAATCTTCTATTTATATACTTATACATATATACACGCATCGCAGTTTCAATTCCCAATTCGATGTTCATTTGATTCTCCATTCTCCATTCCTGGGGTACTATCATATCCCCCTGCTGCCTAAACCGCGAGCAATGATGCTTTCATGATCCTTTCCATTCCCTCTATATATCCCTAATTGATCCCTGTATAACACTAAACCCTAAATGTCAAAACTGAAACCCTAAGCCCTAAACCCTCAATAATCCTTGTATAATTCCGGTACGTATTTGTTTATCGAAGCCTCCAGGCTAGCAGTGTTCGTCATGTTCCTGCCCATGTGTGCTTCGACTTATGCTGCCCTTTCACCAGGTTGCTGTTCAGGAACTTAGATTAAGTTGCGATGATGAGTGTAGACATGTATATATATATATATAGCAAATGATATGGTTTCCCCAATATAGTAACTTGAAAGAAATTCCTTAACCGCGACCCAGATTACGTTGCCCCTTCTATCCCGGGTCATTGTTGAACAGTTGTAACATTGCCGAACAGTTGTAACATCTTGGCAACAGAGCAGCAAGGAATGTACAATTATGTTTCGGTATTGTAGCATTGGCAGACAATTGGGCTTGAGAATCTTTGGACCTTGGCTCATGGGCTAAGCAAGCAGCATGGACCGACTTGTTGTTTTCAAGCCCAAGCGTGCAAGGCCAAAGCCAGCCGGGCCCTGCTCCTCAAAGACTCAGCTGCAACCCAACTCCACTCAGTTGGATCTTTGTACGCCAAAGTGCAAAATGTACGATTTGTGGCTATAACTGACCCTCGTGCTGATTTCGTCATGGGCCTGAGGCGTGCCTGGCCTGCCAATGAACCTGCAATCTCATACCTGAAGCCTTCATCTAACATGTGCCCTGGAGTGTGAAGCTGCGCAGGGCCAGCGAAAGGCTGTGAAGGTGTCGGCGGTGAGCACTGACACTGAGGCAGCACGCTCTCCCGGCTTAGCAGAATTCGGCGTGTCTGCATTGGGTTTGCAAGGTCTGCATGCATGTCTGAACCATTGTAGTTAGGATTATTCATCGATTCCAACGAGACTTCCATAAGTTGCAAGAGTTTGCTGGAGTTTGCACTACTCACGCCTCGATGCTTCAGAAGCACTCCTAGTTGTACTTGTCGTGGCAGTTGCAGCAGTAGCAGCGCTAGCAGAAGTAGTAGCTGAAGCAGCAGGATTGGCAACAGGAACTGCAGCAGGGGATGCAACAGGCACGGCAGCAGGACGAGTACTAGGACGGGTGGAGTACGAGGACGAAAGCAAGAATCAGCAAGAACAAGAGAGCAAAGACTAAAAGCCAAGGCACGAGCCAGAATAGCAGCAGTCAGACGAACAGGGGCAGCAGTCCTCAGTGATGCTGACAAATATTGTGTATTACCTCAAGCCCAACTCGAAATCCTACAGCCTCCTACACGTACTTCTTTCCTGAACTCCCAGCTTGAACCTCTTCTACATACCACTAACACAACGCTAAACATCAACCTTGCATCTCGATTCCTGGGCCACCAATAGTCCGAGAGGTTGAGACCGACTGCATCAACTCCATCCGCTTCCTGGCCGTGGATGCGGTGAACAAGGTGCTGGCACTGACGTGAGTTTTAACTTGTGGAGCTTTAGGTATTGGAGGCAGAAGGAGTCTAGACGGAAACTCTAACTATTCGTTTGTTGTCTGCTGATGTTATCATACGCCGTTTTTGTCAGGCTTTCATTTCATTCGCCCGCAAGCAAGGAATGAGAACAGTAGGTAACAAGAATGACAGTCGGGGCTAGAAATCTACCAAGCTGGCATTATTGAGCACTTCCCTGACGTTTAGCACCCCTCAAACTCAAAATATGTTTCCCCGAGCATTGAGTGTCAATAGAGAAAGTGTAATCTCAGGGGTTGGGGGTCTGTAAAACCAGGGGTGCGGGGCTCTCTGACTCCTCCCCTCCACCAAATAATCAACTCCCCTACCATCTAACGAGAAATACGCCCCCTAATATATTATTATACCATATGTGGGGAATGGTATTAGCGGTATTCTAATCCCTCTGTAACCCCTGTAGATGCCCAGTTTGCATGTCGTTCTCTATCTGACTATCCATTATGGCGCAATATCCCTAAGTTCTAGACCCTGCATATTTCTGAGGTTCTTGTTGAGACCTGAACTACACAGATGCCAGGCCAACTCCGGCCATCCGGGTGCTCCTATGGGTCAAGCACCAATCGGATCCTGGGACCTTGATGAAGACACCTGGGGAGCATTTTGGGGATTTGGAGGGAGGGATCCCTTGAAAGGGGTTATAGGGGCTATCTAGGGGTCTATAGGGGGATATAGGTGTTTGGGTATTGGGTCTTGGCGTTTCGCAGTCTGGGGGTGGTGGATTCATTGGTTCACATGTCTAGGGGTTGGGCTTGGGCTTTTGCTTGGCGAGGTAGGGGGTCGAGGGCTTCTAGGCATGAGGAGCTCTATTCCCAGAGGGACTGAATGGTAGCCCCAGGATCATTTCCAGGGGACGAGCTCCGTTTTAGGTAGGCTTGGAGAGTTCTGGGTTTTGATGGCCTTTGACATCGGTAACTCAGACATTCTGAGCAAATCAGAGTGTTTGGCTCATGCGCCGGAAATTTCACGGAATTTCTAGGCGGACATCTTATGGGGGGGTCATCTAACCTCTGTTTGCTTCAAATCGTATCTAATGCCAGTGCTGCCAGTAATCCCTCCCGAGCATTTTAAGCAGCTTCCCACCGCTAACATGAAAAATGCCCTTGAAGAGGCCAGATGTGCTGAGTATTGTATATATATATATATGTATATACATGTATATGGCAGTTGCTTTTCACTGGATTTGGGTTGTAGGGTCGTTGCCCTTTCAAAACTCAGCTTCTTGGCATTTGGCTTGCATGGGGGAAATCTGCAAGTCATCGGTCCAGCATCAATAGACTTAGTTTATTTGGCGAGATACGGGAGTTTCCCAAGATTAGGGGTACCATTATGGGGGTCCCCATAGTAAGGACTATAGTATTTTGGGGCGATGTTGGGTTCCCCCTAACCAGGGAAATTACCATAGAGAGTACCACGGGATTGTTCCACTTTGGATGTAGAATTCGGCTACTGTGAGTGGATCTGTTGTGAAGTCCAAGACCGCAATTCTTAGTAGAGCACAAAGCTGAGGCTACCTGCTCTTCGCAGAAGAGATGGCCTACAACCCCAAGGACTCATTCCAAGTACTTTAGTACGTTGGGGTGAGATAGGGATAATGGAGAAGAAATTGGAAACCATTATAGGGATCGCACTTCGAAGGGTGTGTTCGCGATGCTTGGAGGTAGCAAGTGATAAGGGTTCTGGGCTTAGTACGTGCCTCCATGGCCCTTCTTGCAACACCCTGTGCAGCACTGGAAGCAATCAATGAAGTACTCTCTGTTTTCTCCTTCCAGAAAGTTAAAAAATTACATCGGAGCTTTGCACGTCTCCATAGAAGTTCTACAGCAGTTTCATGAGACTTCAGAATGGAGTAGCTTGTGCTAGAGATAAGTCACAAGTCCAACTTTTTGGCAGGATCCCACCTGGGTCAATCGGGACCGCTTCGTGCTGTCCTCCGGCCACGGATGCATGCTGCAGCTACTTGGCCATCGTTTCCTTTTTGTGGGTCGTTAGTACTGAGGACTATGTTATTTTGGGGTATGGAAAAACCGTGCAAGTTTTGAGACATACACCGTCGGAAATTTTAATCTGTCGTGTCTTAAGGCTTGGCGTCTCGGAGCAAATTGGTGAAGTTTTGAGCTTTGTTTCGTTGTGTAGTTCGCTTTGAAAGCTTGATGTCTTTGGCGCTGCTCGAGAGCCGCGCAGGACGATTGAAGTAAAGCAGCATTCATGTAATCCTGCCTCGGAACTCTACCTGTCCGTTGGCAAGTGGACATGTTAGGTGCGGCAAGCCAATCCAATCAAAGATGACTGTAACTAGCTTTCTAGTGGGTTCTCCTGTGAGTGATGCCCATGCTTTTGAGGTGTGCATTGGAGGGTTGCAGGAAAACGATGTTGCCAAGCCTTTGCGTCTACGCAATCCAAAGCCCCGAAAGTCAAGTAGACCGTGCCCGCTAGAATGCTAGAACAGACAGTCCTCAAGCCTTCGGCCCCCAACCACCTTCACCCGTCCAACCCCGCGCCTCGAACCCTCATCCATCAACCTGAAACCCCGATCAATCTTGTTAGGTACTCCCTGCTGCACTTGGCGGGATACGACAGCGTGGCCATGGATGACCTGAAGCAGTTCAGGCGCTTTTCAAAGAGTCAGGGTTACCTGGGTCTATGGGCTTACATAGGGTCCTACCAGTAATGGAGCCGCTGCATTTGGCCGGATGGTGTTAAAGGTTCTTTGCCGCTGGGTTCTTTTCATGAGGGATTTAATCATACGGAGTTCTTCACGGCTTGCTGTACAGTCCCTGTCTGTTCCACCTCGTGCTCTTTGACTGCCCATTTTTGACACCCTGACTGAAACTATGTTGCGACAGCTCTGGCAGCTGAGTGGAGTCGGGAGCAACGAGCGACTGCAGCTATTTTGTGGGGCGAGGGAATCTTAACTTGAACCCAAGGCCTTGGCCTAAAGCAAAAACATGGTAACGGCATAGCTAGCGACCGAAAGGCCGCAGCACATAGCACTGGAACCTGTTTGTTTGAGAAGTGCGCGTTTTCCTAGGAATTTGGCAGACTTCATGTAGACGAGGGTTTCAGGACAAGAGCAAAAATGCTGTAATTACCACTGCATCCAAGACCGAAGTGCACAAAAGACTGCGAGGAGTGGGAACTCGGAAGGAGGCAAAGCGGGTGCTCCGAGCACAAATGTTTTTAGTCAGAATGCTTGGCATTCTTCGCAAGAGACCCCAATGCATTCCAGAGGTCGGGGCCGCTATTGCGGCGCCCGCCACTCGTAACTCAGGATGTCTTCTACATTGAACGTAATAGCTGTTGAGAAACAACGGCTACGGAAGCTCTGCACATGAAGCTTGACAGGCTTGACAGCACCAATGCACTCCTGCAATGGACGTAACTGCCCCGCCCTCCCAAAAAAAACTCAAACTCTTGAACATGTGAAAAACCCTGCGGTCACGGCCAATGCCGCCAGCAAAAAAACATTGCAAACCTCTGGAGCATTAAAGCCGAAGTCCTGTCAGGTTTGATTGACGGCTGTGCTCATGTAAGGCTGTTCACGAACGTAGGTGTAGAAAAACGGCTCTGCGCAGAACCCTACCTTTTTTTACCTGAAATCCCGGAGCATGAGCTCATGCGCCAGGCAGTGGGGCTCCAAGACGCCGGGCCACCCGGAGAATTTCGAAGCTCCGCTGGCTTTGGGGGGGGAAATGCAATGCCTGGGTTATTGTTGGCAATGGTTTTTTGACATCTGCTATGCAGAGGCCCAACAAGGAATGTAATACACCACAAGGTTTAAGGGTTTGACAGTCATTTATTAGGTGGACCCCCCACCCTGTAATAGTGGTATAATAGGAATATAAGAGGACCCTAATATAGTTCCCAGTATCCCTTATAGTCATATTACAGGGTGGGGGGGTCCTCCTAAGTCATTTATCAATGTTCCATGGTGGAACCAGGTCCCCTTAGAGGTCTACTGGTCTGAGGCTCAGGGCAGGGCATGCGTGGTGTTTGGAGCAGCCCAGGTCCCTCCAAGGATATAGTCCCCCTTAAGTAGATAGAATATGGGGGTATATGGGGATCTTATTATAATATACCCCAAAGCCATATTCTATCTACTTAAGGAGGACTATAAGTTAATATGTCTATTTAGCTATTCAACGGGTCTGTCAGTAGCGACAAAGATTCCAGTGTTCCTGGAAGTCCCAAACTCACCTGGCCTTTTCAAGCCAGAAGCCCTGAAACCAGCGTTGTCAAGCTGAGCCCTGTTTCCTAGAGTGGAAACTTGAATCTTCTGGATTTTGGCTTCACACTCCGAAAAAGGAAACCCAGGCCAACACGCGACACCTTGCACTAGGCAGTAGCTTGGCTTCGGGGCAGCTCCCACACAAATAGCAAGAGAAGACGCCCATAAAGCCATTGGTTGGAACTTTAACCGAACACAAGAAGACTCATCTGACAAGGCCTCGAGCAACCAACATTACCAGTACTCACCACCCTGTTGTGGGGGAGGGTGTGGTCCCGTGCTACCAGAGGTGGTTCAAATCCTTAGCCCACATTCTGAAGTCCAGCAGAAATCTTCCGGTGCTTTTTTTGAAGGCTACAGCCCCATGAATACTCTTTTTCAGATGGGGTTTGGTGTTCGCTAAGCTCAGCAAAGGAGACCGCTGGCATTGAGGTCACAACTGGTCCCCTGGGCATCTTGCCTCAGGTTATAGGGGTATAGTATAGAGACAGGACTTAGATTCAGGGATTGGGGCTTCTCAAAATGGGACCCTCAGGAATCTGAAAGATTGTGTGGCTTCTAAGCTTCTGGGATCATGCTGAGGGCTCTTGCTGTGTAATTTTGAGAAGCTGTCATGTAGGCCGTTTAGGGGGCTGCGCAAGTAGAGTAGCCAAGAATCACATAGACAATAAAATGGGAGCTGGGACTTTGTGGGGATTAGCATCAAGAAGGATTGCAGCCTAGGCCCCAAGTATTTAAGTATTTATGTCAACCCTAAACTCTAAACCCTGGGTTTTTCAGGGATTCCCTAAAGTCCTCTGAAGAAGTGCATGCATCCATGAAAAAAGCTGTTTATGGTCGGACATCGCCGACGTTTCACGCTTCCTGTAGGATGTAGGGGCTCACATGAGCTGTAATCTAAACTCCTTAAAAGGGGTTAGGATTACTATAGGGGTTATAAGGGGGATACCAGGAGTTAAGACTATAGCTCACATGTAGGTTACTGGGATGCTGTCAAGGAACTTAGATAAGGTACACTCCGCAAACTAACATGGAGACCCATATAGCCCCCTTTTGAAGGGACTCTAGTCTTTATAGGGCCCTTTTTGGGTTTCCATGTTAGTTTCGGGGAGTGTACCAGTAGAAGGAATTATACAGCAATCCAGATTAGGCAGATTCGGGGTTCGGCTCTGACAGCTCCGGGACGGATAAATTGGGCAATCCTGGGTATGATGACAGTGAGGCTCGCGTGAATCTTACTAAAGGTAAGGTTTGGGTTTAGGCTTTCAAGAGCCTGCTTGATCATTCAAAGATGCTGCAATTCTGTTGGAAGTTGGTTGTATGCCGACTTTGTCTTTTGCTTGCCAGACCGGTCTGCCTGTATAGGCTTAACGTTACCAGTGGAAACCCGGCTCCAGTGGAGAATATCATATCAAACTGAATGCCGCTAACTTTGCAACACAACTTGAAAGCCTTGGTGCCTCCATGGCATGGGTAATGCATGGGCTTCCTCCGTGACCCAGTGGAAGCCCCCGAGGCATGGGCATCTCCAACGCCGTGGGCCTTGCTGCAGCGGAGGCGCACATGGCGGCCGCCTACAACAAGCCACTTGTTGTCTGCAAGGGTTGCTCTGATTTGGTAGTTTCGCGAAATAAGGGGACCCCAATATAAACCCCAAAATACTAGAATCCTTATTATAGGGACCCTCAAACAGGTACCCATAATTTTGGGAAACTCCCATTTAAAGTTGTCAGAATGACTGCTTATGATTGGTTATATTGGGATAATGGAAAAGAAAATGGAAACCTACTAAGGGTTACATAGGGGTTATATGGGAGGTTATATTGGGATAATGGAAAATAAAATGGAAACTACTATAGTTTTCTTAGGCCGAGCCCAGACCAGGTTTCCGGATTTTTCGTACTTAAGCCCATACGCAACTCGTATTCGTTGGAAGTGCAAGTCAGTGTGGTTGAAAGGGTTCAACGCGCTTTGGATGGATAAAGGTGGTTCTGTTGAAAGGATCCCGCCCTTGAGAAGCGCTCTTTTGGTTTCCGTCTTTCTTCAAGAACCACGTAGATGACCTCCTCTCCAGATGCCCTCGGGTACGCCTTTATCACTTCAGTATGTGTCCTTGGCACGAAGGCTTTGAGACCTTAAATTTGGATGTCAGGCGTGAGCATGGCTCTTGGGGGTGTTCATTCTCGGTCCTGGGTGCCAGTGATAATGCAGAGGACGCCGTTTTTCATGTTTGCAACTCATGGCCTGCTGCTCAGGCCAGACTTCACGCTCATCGACCACTACACTTACACCATTGCCGGAGATGGCTGCATGCAGGAGGGCTGGCACATCGTAGCACTCAGGTTTGGAAGGCTCCTCACCAAAGTTGCCTGATGTAGAAGGGGACGCGCTCGGAATTCTAAGAAGGCATGTTGCGGTCTGCTGCGCTGTCAGGAGGGTATCTCCCACGAGGCCTGCGCCTATGCGGGCCACTTGGGCCTTGGCAAGCTGATCGCATTCTATGACCTCCGCCGGCAAGATGTATGGCTTCTGGGAAGATGACTTTTTGCAAGTAGCTTAGGCTTAGATTATGCAATTCCCAAGAGGTGATGCTGTCTTGCCCCATATGATGCAGCTTCTTGACTACAATGTGTTCCAGCAATATCCAACACAGAATTCAAATTTGGCACCTGGATACTCGATTGACAAACTGAGCTTTGTCGATGAAAGTCCAGAGTCTAACGGTCGCTCAGTGGGTCTGGGTGAAACGTGGTGGGGATCGCATCGCGACTGACTTGAAGTAAGTGCAGAAGAGTCAGGCGGATATATCGGATCCTTTTGTAGGAATTCTGGTGCAGGGCTCAAGGTATCCAGTTATGTATTGCGCTTTCAACATGGAAAATTCTACAGAGCTGCCCCCGAATTTGTTGAACATTCGACTGACTTCGCTCAGCCAAAAAGATTTCTTCGCTCCGCTGGTCGTTCCCCTCCGCCTGCGTAAACCCTCCGCGTCTACTGAAGATGTGCAGAGCAAGCAAGGTAAGTAGGGGATACCGCGCCATGGTTGGCAGCTGGCAGAGCTGCAGTGACCCCCCTCGCAAAAACCCAACATAACCTGTCCTAGGATGACAATGGTATCACCATTGATGGCCACACCGACCTTTCTTTCACTGAGGAGTCAGCAGTCTTGTTTGTCAGAATTCGAAGGATTTACCGCAAAAGGAAGTAGCCCGTCCGAAGATTTCAGGTTTGGGTTTCAGGGTGTCGCATGTGGGGATGGGTGGAGTCCTGCCTCAGTCAAAGCGCTAATCTTCTTTATGTGCATGCCAAAGATTGCTGGTTGTCTTCAGGACTTGTCGTGAATCCAGCTGGCAAGCGTGTAATGCTTCTAGGAGCGCAAAGGTCTTTTCATGCTGGAAGACGCCTGGCAGGTTAGCTGCAGAATTGGGCAACGCGTAGTGTTTGAGACCCCAGCCTTTCCCTCACGGAACCCACCACTTTCAGTTCTTTTGATAGATATGATCACGATGTCTTGCAAACGCATGACTGAAAGCCTTGAAATGCTAGGATTCCAAGATATCAGTCGTGGGATTATGTATGCTAATGTGAGCGAGCATGATGGGCATTACTTCTTTTCATGAATCACAACTATTACTGCTAGGCATACTAGGCATACTTGCCATTATGATTGTTATTCCCTATGACCAGCCGGTTCGGGCCGCAGGATGTTGGCAAGCGCTTCGAGGCCAAGCTCACTGGGTTTCCCTTTGAGATAAGAACAATGATAATAGTAGCAAGAATAATAGAACAATAGTAATAACGGTAAGTGGAAGTGGTGGTGGTGGTGGT